AGGGGCACAAGGACTGAGTGAGTCTGTGGCTAAATATGGGGGATTGAGAAGCATTTAAACATCTTCTGGAGATCGTATTGCTCAACACACAAAGAGAGAGAAGGATAAGAGCTGCAGATACCTCGAGCAACCCTTACAGTCTCCAAATTGGCAGACAGTTTGTACAAAGTAAAGGACCATCAACACTTTAAGTAGCACCTCTAGCTGTCTAGAAGACATCTCTGTAGTATATCTCTATGCCTCTGAGCATCCTCCCATGAGAGTCACAAACCAGCCTCCTTTCTCCAGCATTGACCTCCTCTTGGTTTCCATCAATGGTTTGGCTTCTTCCTAGACCTGTCAGGACAGCGTCTGGGGACCACTTCTGGCCTAACCCCAGGCCCCAACACAGAGCACATGTTAGGCCCTATACAGGCTACAGGCCTATCAAATCAGATCACTGAGCAGCACCTCTCCAGACCAAAGCCCCAAATGTTTATATCTCCCCCCAGAATGCAGAATTGGTAATAAAAACCTCCTAGTGGATGACCAGAGGGAGCATAAATATTCATATCTCAGCATTTCTGTGGCATCTCACTCTAATGACAGTAATACCTAAAGGCAGAAGGGAGAAACATCAACAATACTGCACTAAGGGGGAAATCAAAATGAATAAATAAACTAGGAATTAGCATAGGCTGTCTACCACCAGCCACACTAAATTTAAGTTTGGTGGTTACAAAGGTAATTACAGGAGTGGAGGGAAAATGGAAAGAATGGAAAAAAAGACAAAAAACACAAAAAAGGTGTAGGGAGAAGGACAGCAGATAGAGTAATATTGCCTCGTAATAATAGACCATGTTAGGTGTCCACAGCCCCCTCTTTTTTTAGTTTGGACTTTCTCACCCAAAGTTTACTGGAACCACATGTTGGTCTTTATGTTTTTTTTCTGTGTTGTTCTTAGGATTTTACCCAGACCTTGTACCTCTGCTGGGTTTTTATTGCTATTTGTGTCCCCATTGAGGAGACTTCTCTATATTTTATGTCCGGCTGAATGGTATCATCAGGGAGAAAAGTAAAGAGAAAACTCCTCAGCAAAGGCACAAGAAAACGTTCTTCCTGGTGGAAGGATCATAGTGTGTGGTTTGTATCATTTCTGTCTGTAAAATGTGCTCTGCACTGGGTATCTTCATTCCAATGAAGGACTACTAGCTTAAAATGAGGGTTGGGTTTATATAGGGATATAAATACATTATACACTCTCCGGACACTTTATTACGCACACCTTGCTAGTACCGGGTTGGACCCCCTTTTGCCTTCAGAATTGCCTTCATTCTTAGGCATAGATTCTACAAGGTGTTGGAAACATTCTTCAAAGATTATGGCCCATATTGACACGAGTGAATGTTGCCTTTCTATCATCTTGAATCAGTAAGGTCATTCTCCTCTGACCTTTGGCATCAACAACAAGGCATTTTCCTCCACACAGCTGCCGCTCACTGGATATTTTCTCTTTTTTGGACCATTTTCTGTAATCCTAGAGATGTTTGTGTGTGAAAATTACAGTAGATCAGCAGTTTTTGAAATACTCAGACCAGCCCATATGGCATCAACAACCATGCCACGTTCAAAGTCACCTAAATCCCCTTTCTTCCCCATTCTGATGCTCAGTTTGAACTTCAGCAAATCAACTTCACCTCGTCTAGATTTTGGTCCATATTGACACAAGTGACTGTTGCCTTTCCATTATCTTGATTCAGTCTGCCCATTCTCCTCTGACCTTTGACATCAACAACAAGCCATTTTCCACCACACAGCTGCTGCTCACTGGATATTTTCTTTTTTTTTGGACCATTCTCTGTAATCCTAGAGATGGTTATATGTGAAAATCCAATTAGATCAGCAGTTTTTGAAATACTCAGACCAGCCTATATGGCATCAAGAACCATGCCACGTTGAAAGTCACTTAAATCCCCTTTCTTCCCCATTCTGATGCTCAGTTTGAACTTCAGCAAGTCATCTTCACCTCATCTAGATGACTAAATGAATTGAGTTGCTGTCATGTGATTGGCTGATTAGCAATCTGTGTTACCAAACAATTAAACAGGTGAACCTAATAAAGTGAGTGAAGTTTAGGGTTGCCACCTCATCCCTTAAAAACTGAACACAATTAGTGACACGGGTTCTGAGGCCAATTTGATGCAGATAAGGCACCAAGTGAGTTTAGTTGCCACCTTAATCAGCCCCAGAACTATTAGTGTCATTAATATGTGTTCGGTTTTAAAGGATGAGGTGGCAACCCCAGTGTGAGGGAAAATGGAACAGCCATTTTATTTATCAAACATTTAGTTTTGATTAAGTGAATATATTGAATGTATATTTGGTTATTACAAGTCTTATTGAGTAACAGCCGTATTTCTTGTATTAGAATGCTATTTACACCTACAGCTGGGAATATTGCTATCTAAAGGAACTATGGGAAGTAACATACTTGTGTGAATGTCCATTTACATTTCCAATAACTCCACCAGAAACCAGAATGAAACTTCAGAGCAATCATATAGGGAGATTCCCACCCATCTTAGGAGATACAAATTGCATTAGTGTTGTAAGACAGAGCAATACTTTGAATCCACACCATGGATTGTTTTGCTCTCCCTGTATGTAGTTCTAGCTACATGCTGGCATAATAAACACATCTACTTTTCAATCTGGCTTCAGCAGTCAAAATGTTACTGAAACCCATGAGTTTTGGGTTTCCCCAACAAAGTGGTCCTTCTTGAGCCGGAAAGTGAAACTATACGGACATCGCTTAGACACAGAACAGGGCGGCACAACCTGGGAATCCATCTCTGCCGGCAGTGGTAGGCTAACTTTCTGCTTACTATGATTTCTCCTTGTGCTGTGCTTATTTCTGTAAAGTTGATGTAGTGGAAAAGTACCCTTTCCAAGAACCTTGACTGTTGAATTTTTTTTCTTTTTACTTTCCATACTGTTACTTATTACTGTCCTTTTGCATGAATGTGTTCTGCTGAACGATTTGCCCTATTTCAGGTGCAATGTGTGGCTAGGTAGGATCTCTGCAGGTCCTGTTACTGGGCAGGTCAGGGATCGGGTCTTCTGACTCAAGATATCTTGAGGTATGACTGATAAGGTACTAAGTGTGGTGGGGCCGTGTGGTTCATTGCCGGGGGTGACAGGCTGCTTGAAACCTTAGTACCTGTTTCGGTTGATAAATCTTTCTTCTTTTTTTCTCTTCTGTGTGGCTCTCCATAAAGTGAAACAGCAGTGTCTATAAACTGATGTGGAAGACTTTTTAGGGAAACAGAACTGTCAGATACTATTATTATACAATATTTATATAGCGCCAACAGTTTGCTCAGCGCTGTACATTATAATGGGAGACAGTACACAAGACAGTACAGTAACAATACAATGCGATACACGAGGGGACCGAGGGCCCTGCTACTTGGAGCTTACAATCTAGGAGGGAGGGGATAGTGGTACAGGAGGAAATAGCTGTGGGGGATGGAGTGGTAGGAAGAGTGGAGGAGATCAGCAATTAGGTGAGGGCGGGGTAGGCTTCTCTAAAGAGATGGGTTTTCAGGGTGCGGCTAAAGGTGAAGAGGGTAGGTGACAGTCTGATGGATAGGGGTAGTGAGTTCCAGAGGATGGGGGAAGTCCTGAAGAAGTCCTGGAGATGGGCATGGGAGGAGGAGACCAGGGAACTGGAGAGTAGGAGGTCTTGTGAGGAGCGGAGAGTGCGTTTTGGGTGGTAGATAGATATCAGGTCGGTGATGTAGTTTGGGGCAGTGTTATAAACAGCTTTGTACGTCAGTGTTAATATTTTGAATTTTATGCGTTGGGCAATCGGAAGCCTGTGGAGGGATTGGCGGAGGGGGGTGGCAGATACAGAGCAGTTGGTAAGGTGGATGAGTCTGGCCGCAGAATTCAGGATTAACTGAAGCGGGGATAGCCTGTGTTGGGGTAGGCCGGCGAGGAGGGAATTACAGTAGTCAAGTCGTGATATGATAAGGGAGTGAATGAGTTGCTTTGTAGTTTTTGGAGTTAGGAACGTGCATATTTTGGAGATGTTGTGGAGGTGGAGTCTGCATGAATTTGTCAGCGATTGAATCTGGGGCTGGAAAGACAGATTGGAGTCTAGAATGACACCAAGTACTCGGCTTGCGGGGTGGGGCTGATGGTGGCGTAGTTGGTCGTGATGGAGAGGTCGGGGGGGGTGGCGCGGGCTGGGGGGAAAACTAGGAGCTCGGTTTTGGCAAGGTTTAATTTGAGGAAGTGGAGTGACATCCAGTCTGATATGTCGTTCAGAAGACTAGTGATTCGGGCGGGGACTGAAGGAGTGAGGCGAGGGGTAGAGAGATAGATTTGAGTGTCCTTGGCATAGAGGTGGTAGTTGAAGCCGTGGGAGTGTATCAGTTGACCAAGGTAGGAGGTGTAGATGGAGAAGAGAAGGGGCCCAAGGACAGAATCTTGGGGGACCCCAACAGAGAGGGGGAGTGAGGGAGAGGTGGTAGCGTTATAGGTAACACTGAATGAGCGTTGAGATAGATAGGGAGAGAGCCAGGAGAGAGCGGAGTCTCTGAGGTCAAAAGAGTGCAGTTTTTTTTGAGGAGGAGGGGGTGGTCGACCGTCTCGAAAGCCGCATAGAGGTCGAGGAGTAGTAGCCATTGGCTTTGGCGGTTAGCAGGTCTTTGGTGAGTTTGAGTAGGGCAGTTTCGGTGGAGTGTTGGGGATGGAAGCCAGATTGTAGGGGATCAAGGAGGTTGTTGTCGGTGAGGTGGGAACTCAGGCGATTATAGGCTAAGCGCTCAAGGAGTTTGGATGAAAATGGCAGTAGGGAGATGGGTCTAAGGTTGTTTAGGTCGGTGGGATCCAGGGAGGGTTTTTTAAGTATGGGAGTGAAGTGTGCGTGCTTCAGAGGGGAGGGGAATGCGCCAGTAGAGAGGGAGAGATTAAAGATGTGAGTGAGGGAGCGTAGGATGGAGGAGGGGGGTGATCGTAGGAGTTGTGTGGGGACAGGGTCAAGGGGGAAGGTGGTAAGGCGAGCTTCAGAGAAGACCTTAGGGACCTCTTCAGTGGTAGCAGGGTCGAGGGAGTAGCGTGTTGTTGAGGGGGTTTTAGTGTGAGGAATGTTTGGCGGGGTGAAGGTCTGGACAGTGGCGAGGTCGAAGGAAAGGAGTGTTGAGGGGGTTTTCGTGTGAGGAATGTTGGGCGGGGTGGAGGTCTGGACAGTGGCGAGGTCGAAGGAAAGGAGTGTTGAGGGGGTTTTCATGCGAGGGATGCTAGGTGGGGTGGAAGTCTGAGCAGTGGTGATGTCCCTGCGAATTGCGTCGATCTTGCTTTGGAAGTCGTTTGGAAGTCGTTAACAATCTCGTGGGCTATACTTTCTCTAAAAAGTTATATAATCTTCTCCTATTGAATTTTGGTTACTTTGCTGTACTGTATTGACCTCTTTATGCGCTGCCATGTGTTGTACATATAAGTGGATTGCCTCTTTTTAGAAAGAATTACTTTTTACATTCCTGAATTGTTTTAATCTGTATAACTGAATCCCCTCAGCCTATGTGACTGGGGTGTCGCTGTTCAATCTGTTGCCTGTTCTGTGTGGCTGATTTATGCATTGTATAGTCTGGTATATATCCTTGGCCAGGATTGGGGGCCAGATATACAGTTCCTGCTATTATCTAAGTATATCATATTTGTGCATTTGATGGTGGGGGCTTAGAAACAGATGAATCCTGACATTTTCTAAGTATATCGTATCTTTGCATTTGATGGGGGGGCTTAGTAACAGATGAATTCTGGAGGAAGTCTCACTACCATGTGAGATGGGGAATAGTACCACCGTGTGCACCCCAGATGGGTATCTGTGTGATCCCACCGGGAGCTCCTCCTGGATTGCCAAAGATTACATGATATATAACCTTTGGACAGAAGTGGCTGAATCCCTCAAGGAATGGAACCAAGGCACACCGGGGTTTAGTACCCCTAGAAGGGAAATTTCACCTTAAGCTCTATAAAAGAATGTAAAAAGTACTACCCAGATACTTTCAAAAGCGAAGATAATTGAACAATTGAGTGAACAATGTGAATAAAAACTGTTGAAAAAGCAAAATAAAAGAGACTTCTAGTCCTATATAAGAACATGAACCTGATAATATTGATAAAATACCTGTAAGCACATGAAACCATGAAATACCACCCTGCCTACTTACTATGACCTAACTAGAGGCATGGGTTAGAGCCTATTGTAAGTATGAACACCAGATTTAAAAAAAAAAAAAGAGAGAGAGGGAAAAAAGCAAAAAAATGAGACCTATGGTCTATGTAAAGGTTTGAGTTACAGTCCAGAAAAAAAAAGAGAGAGAGTGCAGCTTTATTAGAGAAATGTTCTAATATTTTTGTGTAGAGTTAAAGCTAGCTAATTGTGAGAGTATGTTGTAGTGATAAGACGTGTGAGATCCATGGATTGTAAGTTGTGTTGTCCGGGTTGACTGTATTAATGTGCCTAAAGTGCTGTGTCAGCAAAATATTTGACAAAACTGATTCAATATCAGTGGCATAATGATTTGTTTTGTGTTTGTTACTTATGTTTTACGGTGATGTGATGTGACAAGTAAATGTAACGAGTCCCTGCCATGTTGGTTACGGCAACATCTAGAAGATGAACAAATTTTGACCCTAAAATGACTAAATTTTGATTTTTGACTTTTAGAAGTTATAAAAAATTGAGCCTTATGAATGGGGTAACTAATCACTTAAAAGTGTAAAATAACGAGCGCAATATGCAGATGTTTTGCACTTTCCAATTTAGGAACGTGATAAGTTTAATGAAGAAAACATTTTTAAATATATTGCTTATTCTGAAAAAAGTAAATCCAAGAAAATTGTAAAGTTGAAAATTGTGAAACGCTTGTTGGGGTAACTAATAGTTTGGTCATTGAAGCCACACCCATTGCAGTTATTAAAACTGATGAATAAAAAGTCAATTGAAATGTTAAAAGAATTAGTGAGAAGTAAAAAGCCTTTTCACTGATGTTGTTCAAAGTTTAAAAATCAGGTGTGTGTCTCATAGTTTAAGGTGCTGACAGCCCACCGAGTGCTGACCCCCCTTTCTTTGAGACAGGTTAATTGCAAGGTTTGTAACTGTGAACAACTGTATGGTCCTGTAAATGTACTGAGCTGAGTGAACCTTAGGGCTCCATGTACACTGCGGCTGATAAACTCATGGTTAGGAACTGTTCAGTGTTTTTTTCAGCAGCCCCTGAACTCTCCCTAATGTTTTCCTATGTGTCCGTGTACACAGCGTCGTTTACAGTCGTTTACAGGCAGTTGAGTTTACAGTCATTTTTTGAATGCAGAAAACGTCCGTTCAGCAGCTGATTTTATCAAGGTTTCAAACTCAAAACGCTTGTAAACGTGGCTAAACACGGCAAATCGCGTATATAAGCACTTGAAATTTTTTTTAACTCTTCCAGTTCCCGATTCTGTCCAGAGCCTTTTTTCATCATGAAAAATGTATGCAAAGCGTTTTCAAGGTACTCAAATGTACAAAACACTGAACACAGGATGCTCCTACCAAGCTTGTCACACATTGTAATGACCAATTCACACTTCAGACCTCTCCCACCCTTGGAAACAAAAGATATGTTAATGACCATTTACACTTCAAATTCCTCATGAAGACCCCCTGCCAGGTGGCCTTAATGACTCCCTCCACCAGACACCTTTCCCACCCTTGGAAACAAATGAAATGTTAATGAGCAACTCACACCTAATAAACTGTACACATACTGCTGTCTCTGCTTCTACTCCCTGTATTTCTCTGAAACAGTCTGAAATAGTTAACAATTTACCACTTTTCAGGGCATTCTGGGCATTTGGGAGGTTCTCCTGTGCTTATCTTTAACCAATTCATTTCAGAGCCTCCTGGCCCTTTAAGGGTTCCAGAAGCCGGGAGGCGGGGCGGGGTTTAAGGTCATGTGACCGCCGTGACGCGCCGTGACTGCAGTCACATGATTGGGAAAGGTCCCGATCGAAAGAGGAGATCGGCACCTTTCCATGAGTACCAGACATGTGTGTAGGGAGCGCATGTCCTTTTTTAATAGATAGAACGCAAATGTGCAACCCCTCGGCGTCTAGGCCCAGACCCCGGGAGGCCACACATTTGTGTGGGGCCAGCGTGAAAAGGTTAAAAAACGCTTCTAAATGCAAACGCGCATAAAATCGTTATGCAAACACGGCTAAACAGACTTTTTTTTTAACCTACGTTTTCCAGCAGTCAGTTTCCATCATTCAGAAGTGTCCCGTGTACATGGGGCCTTACAAGGAAATTAGCTGTGAATAGTGAATTGTTACGTGTATTCACTATATTGTGTTTGTTTTGCTAGAAATACAGTTTTGAAGAGTTTCCAATGTGTTCAGTATGGTGAAGGATAACTCTTGCAGACAAATTTTAAATTTTAGTTTACTAAAAGGTCTACATTGAGCTGCTCATTTATAACCATGGAGAACAATAATAATATTTTCTTAATGGTATACCATAAACACAATCCACGTGGTAATAATTCATTTGATGTCAATCATTTTTGGTATTAGAAAAGTGCTCTGTAAGAACAACTAAGAGAGAAAATGTTACAAATATGTACTGTATGCTTTGTTGGTGTTCGATCTTTAACCATTGGTTTATGTTAGGAGGAAAGTGTCATGTTTGTTACTAAATGTAATTGGTGCGTATTCCTCAGATTAGATCAATGTCCTGCTTTGCCTTCTTTCAGGCTATCAGAACCAGGGGCGGACTGACCATTTGGAAACTCAGGCACTGCCCGAGGGCCTGGGGTCAGTGGGGGCCACAGGAGATGCCCCTGGTACCTTTTTCATATGCTTTTTTGAGTTTGGATAAGGACACAGGGGCCCCATGATCCCCTATTGCCCGGCGGCCCCATGAGTTGTCAGTTTGCCCCTGATCAGAACAGAAGAGATCACATCCTTCATAGAAAACTCACCAATGGAAGTATTGTTCCGAATTGTTTTCTTCCTTGTTTTATTAGTCTGTTTTCTCATGTAGATACTTAAGGGTTTCACCCCCATTAGCTGATATTGGTGCATTCGTTTGAGTTTGTACTGACTTTCCTAGTTGCCTATTTATTGGGTGTTAGATCTTCTGTGTTGTGTGTTCTGATCTAACATGTATGGGCTTTGGTATTAATGAGTTTCGACACCCCAAGAGGACCCCAAACCAACCAGATAAAGCCAGAAATCCCCCATTACCAGTGACAATAGAACTAAGCATTTTCTGTCTTATAAAGTTTTTATATTATTGTGAGATGGATGTTTGATACGATTGAGTTGAATAATTGTGTGTCTCTATTTAACACTTATAATATCCTAAGAAATATCATGAATGTATGTTAGTGTTACTATTAGAGATGAGCGAATCGAACCAGGCGAACCGGAATTCGATACGAATTTCAGGAAATATTCGATTTGCGTCAAATCCGAAATTTTGCCTTCTTCGGGTGCGCGAATCGAATATTTCCCGATCAGCCGGCAAAAGTGTCCCTGCAGTGAGCTCCGCTATTTCTGACAGTTCTCTGACAGTTCCTTCACATGTACAGCGGTTGAAACATTGTATCTATTAGTTTCCATTTAGGATACAGATGTTTCAACCGCTGTACATGTGAAGAAGCTGTCAGAGAACTGTCAGAAATAGAGGAACTCTGCACATACACTTTTTGCCGGTTTGGAATTCTTATTTTCATCCTACTTCTTCTTCTTCTTCTACTTCTTCATCCTCATCCTCATCCTCAGAAGAAGAAGAAGAGGATGAGGATGAGGATGAAGAAGAAGAAGTAGGATGAAAATAAGAATAATTCCAAGCCGGCAAAAAGTGTATGTGCAGAGTTCCTCTATTCTGCAGATACACTTAGAGGAGCTCTGCAGATACACTTTTTGCCGGCTTGGAATTAATCTTATTTTCATCCTACTTCTTCTTCTTCTTCTTCTTCTTCTTCTTCTTCTTCTTCATCCTCATCCTCATCCTCAGAAGAAGAAGAAGAGGATGAGGATGAGGATGAAGAAGAAGAAGAAGAAGAAGTAGGATGAAAATAAGAATAATTCCAAGCCGGCAAAAAGTGTATCTGCAGAGCTCCTCTAAGTGTATCTGCAGAATGTCATTTATGGAAACAAAGATACAATGTTTCAACCGCTGTATGGAGTGAATGTCCCAGAACTGTCAGAAATAGACTATTTCTGACCGTTCTGGGACATTCACTCCATACATGTCCCAGAACTGTCAGAAATAGACTATTTATGACAGTTCTGGGACATTCCCTCCATACAGCGGTTGAAACCGCTGTATGGAGGGAATGTCCCAGAAC